CAACTGCTTCAGCTGTGGTCAACGGACGCTGTCCAAGTAATTTTGAATAGCTGGAGGACACCTTGTAGACCCCTCGGAAAGCCTTTCTGGTATCTACGCGATGGTTCGGGTCTACCATGTGCGCTAAAATAGAACTATGAATGCTCTTTACTTGGCCCTTCCCTAAACATGCCAGATGGCGTTTTCATACGCTTTTGGAAAGACGCCAGCTCGTGCGACCAATATATTCTGCCCCTAGAGGAGCAGGTGAATGAATAGATGCACACAGAGATTGTCTGGGCTGATACTTTGTCCTAGACACTGACATTTTGACTTCAACTTTCCCCCCCTCCCCTCTCTCCCGGATAGCGGAAAGTCCTCTGTGAACATTTTTGAGAAACTATTGAAGTTTGACTGCGATTTGAGGGAATTTAAGGAGAAAAACGGTCGCTCATTGTCAGCCAAGGACTATGTATTTGCACTTACATCGTTTAAGGACGATGATCTTCACGGACTGTCACAGTCCCCTTCTGTTCGAACCCCGGTAAACTGCTGCTGATTATAGCGAGTTCAATTCAGTTTTATTGAGCTAATGCCTTTGAGCTCCCTATTGGCGACATAGTGACTGAAAAATATAGTAGAAAATTTCAAACAGTGGTCGTGTAAATGATCGCAGACGAAAAGTGAACAGCCGTCAGTTAGTGGGACACAGTGCACGACTACTCACTCATCGCGAAACAGCCTTTATCAAAGTCAGAGAAAGTCCGTTTGACGAGGTACAGGACGGACATCGCAGACTTGGCTTCTTTTGCGCAATGCAACGAGGACGTAAGTGACGTTATGATCGACAATCCCAAATCTTTCTATGCGTACACTTCTTACAGTTGAATACCATTAAGGCAAAAACATGGGATTCTAAGGGCCTTTCGGCCAACTCATAAGATACTGCACCTCCGTTTAGTAGCCCTTGCTCCTGCTGTCAGCCAAAAAATATTAGGACTGTACCTACCGTGACCCTGTGATGTAAGTAGCTCTCGCTGTTGTAGGAGTTCCCTCTAGACGAGAGGCATTGCGTATCCTCATATACTCCCATCAGCAAGTCGCCTATTTCTCAAAGATTCATTTTCACCCACAAGCGTCAGTTTTTTCTCCTTCACAAGCTTATGAATTCTATTCAATTTTATAACATTTAGTAAAATCGTACTAGTACATTTTCATTGCCCACTTCAGTACTCATTGTCTTGTTAAATCTGTTAGTCAGCAGTATGACGCTCATCAATAAGTTCTTTCTGTTTTAGATTGATTTTTGATGATTTTTCATCGTAGTTGTGCGTAAAGTGTCCTCCGACCTACACAGGCAATTATCTATATGTAGGTCAGTGTAAGTTACTAAAAAGAAGTTACGATAGTTTTAGATGTGGCTGATGTTTCACGGATCTTACTTCCAATATCTCCTGGCACCTGCAACATAGATAATTTTAGGAGTATGCGTTTCGAAGCTTTAAAACACGTGTGCTCTTAACTTGTTGTTTGTTCATACGGCTCTCTGACCTATATTGCACGCGGTTTTCTCAAAACTTTGTGAAACAGCGTTCTACTTGTTTTCACCATGGCTGACGAGGCTGCTCGGAAGCTGCAATTCGAATATAATGTTAACTCCAATCTGGTCATTTCCACAGACCGTAGCCTTATTGATCGGAGGGCTAAGGACGAGTCTACCGGAGAAGTACTTTCGCTAGCAGGGAAGATTCGAGTTCAAGATATGGGAGTAAAGGCCCAGCGTACCAAACCACCCATGATAGAGGAAAAAAAGGCCAAGTAAGTTGCAATTCGATGCGTTGAGTACGTATTTAGGCGCCAAAAACGGGATGAACAGCTTTATGATGAGATAAAGTTGAAAAACGCGACATTACTGAGTGATGACCTCGAGGAGATTGCTGGCGTAATCTACAGACCTAAAACTCCGGAAACCAGAAAAACTTATGAGTACATTTTGCACTGTATACAAGAGGCTCTCGGGGATCAGTCTCGTGAAATACTTTGTGGTGCAGCTGATGAAGTCCTATCTGCTCTCAAAAATACGAAAATTCGGGATAAGGATAGGAGAAAAGAGATCGAAAGTCTGTTAGGTTTGTCTCTCCGTTTCATCGGATTATTTTTTTTTCAGGCTCTCTTGCAGATGAGCGCTACAATATCATTGTTAACCTCGGTAAAAAGATAACTGACTGGAAGGATGAGGAGGAAAAGCCGGTTGAAGACAACATCGACAAGACATATGGCGTTAACGTTCAGTTTGAAGAATCTGATCAAGAAGTGTGTGCAGACGTTGCTAAATCTTGCGTTCCTGTTTGCCAATTGTCTTTTCTATCTTTAGCTCTGAACTCCTATAAAGACGTATCCACCTCTTAAACGAAGGTGTCAGTTTTTACATCGCAAATATTGCATATATAATGCACTCTTCTCGCATTTTGTCGACATGTAATCCCAATTTTTAACCAGGAAAATGCCGGAAGACTGCTAATTAGCAGTTTTTTGGTCTCTTATTACCTTAGATTGCCGAATATCTTAATCATTGCCGGCCAGTTCGTAATTTATGTTCATGTCAGTTCTCATATCAGACTTATACGATCCGCATAGGAGACGCACGAAGTTTTTTCAGTGCCTCGTGCAATACAAATATATGCAACTGGAAAGCTCACTTCAGGGAGTATAATGAATAAACTACACTGTTGATGCTAAATTTAGGCCAAACTATTTC